GGAACTAGAGAATTCCATGGGCGCCTCGCATTCAGGGCCTGGATCACAAATGCCCTGCAATGCCCAGACCGTCCCTGCACTAGGAACTGCCCACTCAGACAATGGCCAGTAGCACACAATGGAGATAAACCTTGGTAGAAGCCTCAGCTGAGATCTGAATGCCCAGCAGGTTCTAGTCTATTAACTACATGACACTCAGGGAAGTACTTGACTTTTCTGTCCCTCTGTTCCCCCAGCTAGAGAGCTGTCTGCCCTTTCTGCCGTCCTAAAGCACTGCTGAGAGAGGAAAAGGATCTGATAAAATCCTCATAAACCAGCAGAAAGCTGTTATCATCAGACAGCACGCTCTGCTCCCCCAACCTCCGTCTGACAGGTAGGAGGTGGTGGTTCTGCCACAGGGACCCAAATTTTCTAGTGAAAGGTCCCTCTGAGGTCCAACCTTAAAGGAATAGTGAAGAAGCTGAATGTGGCTCACCTTCACCCCACCCCCACCCCATCCAGCCCTGTCTGTCAGTCCTCAGGCTGACCCTCCTGATTCCTAGGGCCACTTCTCAATTCGTCCCAAACTTGGGAAGATTTAAGTGGAGGGAGAGATGGCCACTCCCATGAGCACAGCTTTTGTTCTTGCCACGTAGGCCATATGACCCTACTCTGGACTCCTGGGAACTGATGTCATTCCACGATCTTGGCATCCACCAGCAGGGCATCCATTGCCAAGCACTTCCCCAGGGCCAACACATTCCACCATTCAGCAGCCCGTTTGGAGGCAGAGGCTAGTGTTCTGGGAACTTACCCAGGAGTCTGGAGAAAGGGAGAGGAGGTAGAGTCAGCCACTCAAAAATACCTGGACACCAAGCCTGCACTGGGCCTGTTCACAGAACAGAAACCACAGGCTTGGGCTCCTCAGCCCTCCTGTCCTGTCTCTGCAGACAGAGGGTCTCAGGGATCTTGCATGGCAGCCTACAAAAGAGGCCAGAGTAGGGACCTCCTGGTGCTGAGCTAGACAAAGAGAGAAATCAAGTCCTTGTCATTAACTCACCGGGATACCCATTAGTTAACTGTTAGTTTCCTGAGCCCCAGGATGAACTAGAACACCTGACAGGTCCTTCTAGGACTCTTCTTATGGCCAGATCCTCGTGAGATCTAAGGAGCAATTTTCAGACACTTGCACATTTGTTCTTGGATACCCCTCTCCATTCTGGCTGAAGAAAACCAGCACACAGGAGAAGGAATGGCTAGAAGCCAAATTTCCCATTCCCCCAAAACACCAGCATGTACCTTGTGACCTCCCGACCCTCCACACCCAGCATCTGCTCGGGGAGTTGCATTTCCCATGTGTATTTGCATCTGCGGCAAAACATCCCCAGGAGGAGGCCATTGCTGGCCCCAAGCTCACCTCTGATGTGGGCACAGCAAGCCTTCTCTGGCTGGCCTGCCGTCGAATAACCACGGGGCTCTATGGGCCCACACCCAGGGGGCTCCAGCCTCATGACCCAGCCCTTTCCCCACCTGGGGTTCCATGGAAGCCCCATGGCATAGCAAGCTGAGTCACAGGGGGTCTCTTCCCCTCTCTATCCATCCCCGACTAAACACAGCTGGAGGGAATGCTGGGACCTCACGAGGTAGGCAGGCAGCCCGGGGGTCACCATGCTTCCATCTCTAGTTCCGGAAGCCTGAGTTTAGGGGAGCGAATGGAAGAGTCCACAAAAGCCTGCTGGGTACCCTGGGACATGCACTGGGACTTAGAGAATCAGGACAACAGGGAATGCAATAAAAATGATTCCATTTTTATTGGTCAGATCCCCTTTTAAGCTAAGTTGTAACAGCCATAAAACCCACAAGGGATCCCCACCCTGCGAAACACAACCCTAAACTTCCACTTTCTGGGCCTTCCCCTTCCTCAGCCCATTTTCTAACAGCGGAAACACCACAGGACAGAGGCCACCTGAGATGCGGGTGCCACTTCACAGGCCCCAAGGAGTTCCATCCTCAGAACGCCAGGGTTCATCTTGACCGTCTTCTGCCTCTAGGCAGGGAAGGGGGAAAGGGACCAACCCAACGGCCTTGGGAATGGGAAAAGGGAAAGCTGGGTTTGCCAATGCAGCAGACTCCATGGGGCAGCTCAGGAGTCTGGCCTGGCCGATGTCAATGTCGTGGTGAAACATGTGTGGTCTGAGCTGAGTCCAAATGAATTGTAACAGAGGGCCAGAGCAAAGTAACTCGGGTATCAGCCAAATCAAAGGAAACTGATACTGTGCATTAAAAGCCAGTCTGGCCTTTTTTAGACTGGCTGGGGAGACACCCCAGCCCTGCTCCGAGTTTCTGGCCTCCTCCTTTCTATTCTCGGCCCCGAACTCGCCTCTAACTTGAAAGGGCTAATTAAAGCCAAAAGAAAAATCAAAAGCTTGTTATCTGGCTCCATTACTCCCAGTCCTGGCATCAGCCTGTCTTGCAAAGCTGTATCGCCTCTGTACTCTCCAAGGCTACCATGCGGTGTTAGGACCCACGGCTCTGCTGACTTCCAGGATGAACTTGGCTTTTTGTGCTGTGGCAGGGAGCAAGGGCAGGACCAACACCTGCCTGTGGCAGTCAGACAGATCCCTGCAGATGCTGCTGCTCCCAAAAGCACAACCCAAAAGACAGTTGTGAGCAAGTTTTCTGCAGAGATTGCCAACCCCTCTGATCTCATAGTAAGCACCCTGCATAGACTTGACATCTGCTAACATAGGTTTTAGGTATGCACACTCATGGGACTATTTATGGCATGCATGCAAGTATATGTGTGCAAGGCTGTGCAAATATGTATATGGCGTGCAGGTAAGGGGGGCTCTCCTTGAGTGCTGGCTCTGCCACTCATTACAGGATGTGTGACCTTGGGCAATTAGTTGACCTTGTTGGGTCTGAGGTTACTCAAAACAAAATGAGGGTTTAAACTAAGGTACAAGGGTTTGAATATTTGTCCCCTCCCAAACCCAGGTTGAAATTTCATTGCCATTGCAACAGTCTTAATAAGAAGGGCATTGAAGAAGTGGTTAGGCCATGAGGGTTCTGCCCTCATGAAGGGATTGATTGTTACTAACATAGTAAGGTGAGTTCAGTTCCTCTTGTTCTTTCTCTGGCTTTCTCTTTGCCCTTCCACCACCTTATGGTACAGCGAGAAGGCCCTTGCCAGAGGAAGTCACCTTGAACTTGGATTTCCCAGCCTCCAGAACTGTGTGAAATAAATTTCTGTTCATTATAAATTGCCCAGCTTCAGATCTTCCATTTTAGCAGCACAGGGGGAGGACCTATTTCCACATGCCAATGTATCTCCCCAGAGACCTTTATTTGCATGTGTAATGCACATAGACATAGCACAAAATCTGGCCGGTTACTGATTATCTTCTTTTGGGAGCAGTCTGTGATCCCCCAGATCATAACCCTGTATCACAGACCCTCTCAAGCAGATCAACCACTACCCTAAACACCAGGCCCCATTCGGGAGGCATTCTCAAAGGTGAAGTCACTGGCCAGGGTTCAACAGGTGCTGGAGTCCCCTCTGTTCTCTGGCCTGGCTCGCATTTTCCCATGGGTTGATGCTCTGCCTCTCCCATTTCCTCTGTGGCACAGGGTCTCCTGGCCTTTCAGGTCCTCCACATAGGGATGGAATCTTTTCATTTCAGCCCAGGTACCCAAAGTCTGCCCCTGGAAAACAGACTGAGCCTAAATGTCAGAGCACCAAAGGTAAACTCTGCTGGGCTCCTTCTGCTCCCTCTTCACTGCCCCCACTTCAAATCTCGACGGACAGAGGAATGGTGTCATTCACCACGCACCAGTGAAGAGGTGCCAGTGTCCTCTGAGATCTGTTTGGCAAGCAGTTATACTTTATGGAGGGAAAGACACTTTTCAATGCAACCAAAATACATTTTCCTCATACAAAATGCCACCATGGTTTGAGCAGGAGTCAATCACATTGGGACAAATGTATATTTGGATCTGATGGATGAATTTTTCCTCCCTCCTCTTCTAATTAGCATTACAAGATAGATTGCAAACTAAGTTCACTATTTTTTAAAAATGGAAACGAAAAAAGGAGAAGGAAAGAGTCGTGGGCCCAGAAGATGCCAACAGAGGAATCTTGAAGAATGTGAAAAGAGAACAGCACCCTTTGGAAGATCAACAGAAGTCAAGCTCAGAAAAGCAGGTGCTTTTCATATTGAAAGGGGTGGAGAGGCAGGAAGCTGTGTCACCCATTTCACCTGAGGTCCTCCTGCAAGGCCATACCTATCAGCACATCAAGTCCCACAGGTCATGGGATGGCCCCTGAACCAACTGTCTTCACTCTGGGCTCCTACAGCACGTCTGTCACCTGGTGCTGCTCTCTGGCTTCCTGACTCTGGGATGCATCATTTCCAGGGCACTGTGCACACAGAAGATGCTTAATAAACACTCTGTCTCCTCCCATCCCTTTCCCAAGCAAGTTCTCTTTTCTTCCCTCTGCCTTATTTCTGCTCTCCTTTGCTTCTCCTACCTGACTTCTGCCCCCACTTTTCCCATGTCCTAAAAATACACAAGGGGCTCAAAACCTAGCTTTCCTGAAATCCCACATCCATCACACCACACACCTAGAGTGACTTCTTCCACTCTCCTCTCTCCCGCCTCTGCTCTTGTTCTGAACAGTCAGGAACGTGATTGACAGGCTTGGTTAATGAGAAGGGTGCTGCAGCCCTCTACCAGGTCGGGTGCCCAGGACATCTCCTTCACACCCCATTCCCATGACGCCCTCGTGTATGCAGCAAGCCAACCTGGAATAGAGAGAGACCCGGGTGGCCATGGGAAATGAATGCCTTATCTCCACTTCTGACCCTCATAGACTCAGAGCGTTAGAGCCAGTGGTGGTGTGAGGCCAGTGAGGCCCAGGATGGAATATAGTCGTCCTGTTCACAAAATGGGAAGAGAAATTACAAGGCTGGGTCCTTCTGCACAGCCCACCACCCAGCCCAGTGCTCCCCTCGACTCACCGCGCTGCTGCAGGGGATATCCTTCACCTTGAGCCAGGCCAGGTCCAGCGTGCCCTCGCCCCGGTAGCAGGACTGCAGGCGCTCCTTAATGCGGTCATTGATCTGCTTCAGAATAAAGATGCACAGGGCCGATTCATCCAGAGATTTCATCTTCCGCTTCTGGCCCTTGGAGAAGACGGTGAAGAGGAGGTCGTCGTCTGGGCGGACACTCAGGGTCCGGCCCAGCACAGCCCCGGCTTTGGACAGGTAGGCGGCCTGGAGCAGGCGGTATTCCACCCCGCCGCGCTCACAGCCAATGGGCACCTCCACGTACGAGTTGAAGGCTGTGTCCTCCTTGCAAAGCCTCACGAGCTTGGAGGTGTACACCTGTTCCTTTGTCGTGGAGCCTGGAGGGGACACCATCTCAGGCTGAAGGGTCAGAAAGTAGACAAAGTTGCCGCTGCTGAAACCATAGACGTAGTAGATATCAAAGTCGGGGATGACGGTGAAGGTGTCCGAGGGGATCTTGATCATGGAAGCCACAAACTCATCGTGGAAGACGTAAGCGAACATGCCATCGGCCTCAGAGTTCTTGGTCAGCTTCCGGCTGGAGATGGTAGGGAAATACTCAGGCTTCCCATCCACCGCCGTGGCGATGAAGAGCTTGTCATCCAGGTTGCTGTAGGAGACGATCACTCCGAAGACCGAGCCACTCTCATTGACCCCCGACAGGTAGTGCTCCTTCTTGTGAAAAGGCTCCCCCAACTTAAAGAGGTCCTCCAGCCTCAGGAGCTTGCAGATGCCCTGGTACAGGCTCCCACAGGCGATCAGCCGGTTCTCCTTGTAGTCTATGAGGAGCATTTTGTTGACGTTGTTGGTGGTGGTCAGAGGCTCATTGCACGTCTGGACGATGCGGGGCGGGTAGCACTTAGGGTTGTCCTCGTCCGGCCCTGTCTGGTGGGTCACCAAGACCTTCAGGTCACTGGAAAGCTTATAGATCCTGTTGACGGCCCCCAAGTAAATATGCCCTGTCCTCTCATCCACCACCAGGTGATTGAAGCCCTCGGTGGGCTCTCCTCGGAAAGTGACAAAGGACCGCTTCTGCGTCAGTGGGAGAGGCTGCCGGGGGAGCAGAGTGGAGGAGCCCATCCCTACCACCAGGAGGTGGGACAGCAGACAAGTCCAGTTCCAAGGCATGGCTTTCATTTCAGAGAAGGGTCCTCACGGCCCAGCAGCACTTGGGCACAGCTGTCACCAGGACTCAGCAGGGCAGTCTCCCCTAGTGAGAAAGAAAAGACTGAGATGTAGGATAACCACGGTTGGGGCTTCCTGGCACCCCAAAGCATGTCTGGCTGGACTCAGCCCACTTGGCACAACCCAAATACAACTGCCCAAGGGAAGCTAAAGGCCAGCTGTGTGGGCCCCAGCCCAGGAGTGAGAGACAGTCACAGCTAGGAGGCAGTGGCTACAGGAGGACCCTTTAGCACCAATAATAACAATGCTAATGATAACGATGACGATAGCAAAGATGACAAGAGACAGCAGCGCTGACCAAGTGCCTGACTTTATGTCACTCACTGTCCGGCACCTTCTGGGGACTATCTTATTTCATCTCAGTAAATCCTTTCAGGGCTGGGAGTCTTCTATCTGCTCTTCCAGATCCATGGCCTATCCTTCTCTGGCCCAGGAAGCTGACCGCACAGACCCTCTAGGAGCGGCTCCCTGGCCTCAGGCCTGGTTAGGTGCAGCCAGCAGACAGCGCTGGAGGAAGCCCGGTGGGAGGAGCAGATGCTGCACCCGCTGGGAGTCTCATGGGATATTTCCTAGTGCAGGCCCCTCCACACTGCCTCTCTGTATCCAGGTCCTGTGGGCCTTCTCCTGCCACACCCTACCTGGCCCTCTCTGTGACCAACTCCAAATACTGCACTGCCCCTAAGGAACCACACGTTCATGAAGAGTCCCTTTCTTCCATGACACAATTTGCACATGCTATCTATTTCCTGCTGAAACCCGGACGAGTGACCTTGGAAGTGTGTACTATTTATCCTCATTTTACAGCTAAGGAACATGAGCTTAACAAAGTCATGGGACTTGCACAGCTGAAAGTGGCAGAAATGGACTTCCACTGAAGTGTCAGTAACTCCAGAGCAGGTCCTCATTCTTAACTCTGCACTCAGTTGTCCGTCGCCTTGCACAGATGGGGTATTTCAGCACTTCCTGTTATCCATAGCAGAAGACCAAAGCTGAACCCCTTCTTGAGGGCACCCATCACAGCTGCTGCCCCTGGCCCTGTGTCTGGACCTCCTGCAGGGGAATGTCCCCTTGCATCTGCTCTGCTGGTTGGTGTAGTGGGGCCAAATTAAAAACCCACATCTTCCCTCCCTTCTTCCTCTGGCATCCACCAGGCCCTCTGAACCCTGCCCGGTTCTAAGCCCTCATGTTATTTTAACAAGGCAGAGCTCAGCTGCCTCCCACAGTCGGGACCCTTCTGAGAGGTTTTCATGAAAGGGAGGGAAGAAAAAATGCTTTAAGAAACCAGTGGTCAAATAAATAAATAAATAAATAAATAACTCCCAATGGAACCAAATCAGAGTCCACCCTAATGGTCTCCTTCATTTACAATCAAGATGCTTTCTGCTTGTTTCCAGTGGAAAGTTTCTTACTTCCTCCACTTTGGAGGCATCTGGGCAGGGACTGCCAACTTCTCATTTGGAGGCATCTCAGCTCTGGGGAATTTCTCTCATCCTCCCCATCCCCAAACTCCTAAAAAATGAGGTAGTGGAATGAGGTACATTGCTAAGTAACAGAAATCTCCCCAACAGAGAGAGGATACAAGGTGAGCTGGACACCCACAGAAGGAGAAAGCAAACAAAATGAAGGCTTTGTCTTGTCAGCCAAAATCCAAGTGAGACCTACAATCTTTTCAAGAAGATGTCAGAGGAAGAAGGTTCTGGCAGGTGGGGACCCCCCACCGCACAACCAACAGTGGTCTTGCAAGCTGACGGCCTTTATTTATTGACTCACTTGACCAATGTTTGCTCAGAGCACACACAACACAGGCAAGACACTTCAGGACGCAAGGATAAGACCCTCAAAGGACTTGTGGGCAAGTTAGGCAGAAACTAACAAAACCCAAACTATACATAGGACGAGCAGTTAGGCTACGAGTGACGGTGTCGTGATAGAGTGCGTTGGGAGTTCATGTGGGAAAAGAAGCCTTCTAACTTGGGGTGAGGAAGCAAGGCGTGGAAGGGAATGAAATTTGAGCAAGGAATGAACTTGTGGAGGACACGGAAAATTGGAAGGGTGAGACCTGCAGAGCCAAATGGGCATATGGAAGCAGGTGTAAAGGAGGAAGAGGATGCCTGGGAACACAGCTCAGGAAGGAATCAGGAAGCAGATAAGGCGGAAAAGAGAGAAAATGGGCCTAATCAGGATGTCACTGGAATGTCAAGACTGAAATGCAAAGAGTAAAGAGTGTAAATTTAAAAGAAAAGGGCAATGTTTCCCAGAGAGAAGGTGCCATGTTACTGTCTATGCAGTCTTTGACTTAGCGGAAAAAAGAGTCCGTGGCTGAGGGCTTGTGAGCTCTGTGACCAAGCAGTGTCTGTTCTGCTCACTAGTGTGTCCACAGCATCAGAGCTCTGCCCAGCAGTTCACGGAGGCTCAACAGCTAATAATTCTTGACTGGCAGAAAGAGGAGCTTGCAGCAAGAAGGAATATCAATATTTGTACAGCATTTACTGTGCCCCAAACCCCATGCAAATGCTTTCACATAGAGTAACTCACAAACTCATCAATACTGTTCTCTGCAGGCAGGAGGATGACTTGACCCATCTTTCAGGTGAGGAGACTTTAGCTCTGCAAGGACATGTGGCTAATAAGAGGCAGAGTTAGGGATGACTCCAGGGTAGTACCACTGCTATTCCGAATGGTTCTTAGAAGTGCACAATTTCAGAGCCCAGAATATAGAGCACTTGGAAGCCCCCTTTTAAGTCATGTAAGTCTCAAGCAAAGAAGTCCCAGGAGACATCACATAGGAACACCAGGAGAAAACCGAAACCTCTCTGACCCACAGAGCATACACCTATCAGCAGGTGCTGTTGCACACCTTCAAGTGTTGGTGACTGCACAGCACCTGGCACAGGGCCTCTTCCTGGCACAAAGTAGGTGCTTAATAAATGATAGATGTGTTGTTATTGTTAACAAGATTTAATAGGATTGAAAGGATGAAGGTTATGATAATTAGAGGGCTCCTGCTGGTACCTATAAATATGAGTGATGAGGAGTCAGCCCAGACAGTTCCTCTTGAGTTGCTTGTGCAAATCCAAATAACAGAGAAGATTCTAGAAGTTTTGATCTGAAATAGATAATCCAGTTGAATGATTCCCAATCCCTGATTTTACAGACAAGGAAGGTGATATCCAGAGAGGTCAAATGATCTCACAGGAGACCACATAGTGAATTAAAGATGGAGATGAAGGACAACTCAGACCTCTAAATCCCAGGCCAGTGGTCTTTCTGCCACATACAGCTTCTTTTCTGACTTTCTCTGCTCCAGCACCTTCTCCTTGGCCTTTGTCTGAAAGCAACTCCTCTTCAGGCTCCATGTGCTCTGCTGGCTAACACAGCTCTCCAAACTTCTGCCAACAGCTGAATTCCAGCAGGGCTGGGAATCCTCATTCCAGACAGACAGGTGCAGGTCGGGGCTCAGGCACCGAGCCTTCTGGAGGGAACTCTCTGCAGTCCCTATGTCAGAACGTGCCACACGTGGGGGAAAGTGCGCCCGCCACAGCCCACCTTACTGTACACGCTCACAGGCCCACAGCCAATCAGCGGTTCTCTCGCCTGCACCAGGCGAGACAAGGAAGCCTGTAATTATGAATTTACTGAGCAGAAAGGTGCCGTGGCTCATTCTCCATCTCCTATTAGGCACTGAAATGAGACGCAGTTATGCATCTCAAACACTTATCACCCTCATCTGGGGATGGGGAAATTACTGTGCCTGGAGGGGAGGGGGTCTGCAGAAACAATACCGGGTGATGGGTATAACCAGCCTCTCATTTTCCACACCACGAAAGGAACTGATTAGGAAACAAATAACAGAAAAATGAAAAAGAAATGGGAGAAAACAAAGAGGATACCTCCAGCTACCTTCACCAAAGACCCCACTGAGCCCCACCATGGAGGTGACCCAAAGGCAGTTCTCCCTCCCGAGCTCAAGACCCACAGGTGGAGAGGGCCACCAGTCCTCTGTCCCCATGGTCACCAAAGGCTGCTCTGATCTGACAAAACTGGAGCTTCCAGAGAGGCATCCCTCCTAGGACATCAATTTTAATAAGCCATGACCCCAACCTAAGGAGCCCCTACCTCAATTTCAGATCCTACCAACCTTTTCTCTCTTAAATCATCTTTTTGATGGTCTCAAAATAAAGCCTTGGAGGGAAGGATAATTCCCCTTGGAGGGAATCAGCCCAACCTTGATTCTCCAAGGCAAGTAGTGGAACTGAGTCACCCCAAGATTTCCCCCAAGGACTCCCTGAACCAGGAAAGGGGCCAGAGGGCAGGAGACCCAAAGGACTCTGAATCAAACCCGAACATGCTGCAGTTTTCCTCTTTGAAATCAGATTTTAATTCTGAGTGGTCTCGGGGGAGACGGGAGACATTTTTAGAAGCTGATCATCATTTTGATTAAAGCAATTGGGACTGCCTTTGTTTTATACGGCAAGTTTTGAAGAGCTCAAACTAATTTCCATGAAGTAGTGCCATCCTCTCCGATTTCTGAGTGGCAGAAAGTTATTATCAAGCAGTTTAAAATAGCAATTACCTCACGAAATTCCTTCCAAGTTTACAAGGCGTTTTCATGTATGTTACCTCATTTTGATCTTATTGTTCATGACAACCCTGTTAACTAGATGCCGTATTTACAAGTACACCCCCTCTGCAGATACAAAAACTGAGGTCGGAGCCAGTAAAGGTCTTGGCTCAGGCCACACACAATCATGCCGGAAACTGGAGAACTCTTCAGGTCCCCATTGTTTGCTCAAGGGACATTTCCTGGACCTCTGCACAAAGTCTTGATCCTGGGACCCTTTGCTCTGAGGTAATAGAACAATCCAAAAATGTACTCTAGGATGTTTCAAAATACAATTCACAACCCACCCGAGTCCAGAAACCAATCAAGTGGATCATATGTGCATTTTTTTTTTTTCAAATGAAGTACAATGGAAGAGAAACTATTAATGTGTCACACATTGGAAAGATAGACACCATTCAGTG